GACCCTCTTCCTTCTCAGATAAGCAGTATCAGTGGCTGTCATTTGCCTCTCACCTGCACCAAGAGAGAAGTTGGGGTGGCAGCAAGGGTGGATAGTGGCACCTACAGTTAGGCTTTTGCCGTGTCTCCAGACTGGCAGCGAGCACCTGGTGAGGCTGTTTCTCACAGCCCTGGTTGCTACAGATGGCCTGCATGCTCTGCCCTGATGAGCAGCCTGCAGGCAGGCAGAGCTACCCCTATGTTGCTCTTCACGCAGCCTGAGATTCTGGTGCCACACAATTGATCCATGAAGACGTCGTAGGCACGTAAACCCAGCACGATGTCTCCACGGTCGCCCATCACAAAGGGTAAGGACACTAGTGACTGTCCGGCCCTTCGTTTCATCAGGTGACTTAACACAAATGAGCAGGGCTGCTCCGCCAGTGAGCCTGCCAGGTCTCAGCGCCCTCATGCCACACGCGGGCCTTTCCTGCTTGCTGCCCTGGCCCGTGCCATCGAGTGGCTGATCTGGGCAGCTCTCATGCAAGCACTAACTCCTTTGGTTGTAGAGCTCTGCCGCCTTCCAGAACTGCCTGGATCTCTCTCTGGACTCACTCCTTAGAGCTCTGGGAGCACTCCAAGAGAGTTGAATGCAGATTGCATGGCTGGGTCTGGAGCAGGGCACATCACCTGTCCATGCATCCTGCTGACCGGGCCCAGTCCAGCTGCGAGGGAGGCTGGAAATGTCTGTGTTCTCTGAGCCCCAGGAGCGGAAACCACACTCAGGAGTCACAGCCTCCGTGGGTTGTGGCATTTTAAGTTGTAGGAAACACTGTGAGGTGGATGCCAGGTGACCTGGGCTTTGCCACCCACCAGTGGAGTGGCCCTGGGCAAGTCATCCTCACCCCCTCAGCTGTAACCACTGTCCCTGTAAGTGTGCCAGGCATGTCCCTGTACTTGTGAGTTTGTATTATTGTATAAATGCATGTGCCTGTGGTAGGAGCTGTGGCCTGCACTTTTTGTTTTCTTTTAAAGATTACAAGAGTTCTAATCAATTACCCAATAATTTTTTTTTTTTGAGCCTGTAAAAATGGGACGGGAGAGACTCTGTTCTCCGTTGTCTATAATGTGGTGGTAAGGCAGCTGATGAATAATGGATGCAGGCCTCTGAGTCAAGTGACTGTGGAACTCAGGATGTGACACTTGAGCTGAGACCTGAATCAGGAGGTAGAGGCAGGCACATGACGGCCAGGGACTGCAGGTGTGCCAAGCAGAGGGATCGATTTGCACAAAGACCCCGAGGTAGAAACCAGCTCGGAGGGGCCCTGGAGTAGCCAAGTGCTGGCGTGAAAGCCAACATGGTGTGTGAAAGGGGCAGGAGGAGAGACAGGAGCCATTGTCCCCAGGCCTTCCTCTCTCTGCCTCGGCTTGCTCCCCTGGGTGAGTTGTGCTGTGGGTTCCACGGGGCTGGTGAAGGAGTGACATGGAGTATCATGTGGGCAGTGCTTGGGGAAACAGTTGGCATGCACTAAGCGCGTGCCCTGTCCTCCTGGTGATGATGTCATTTCTAGTGCAGGGGGAGTGTCATCCTATGGTGCTTGGTGTACTTGGGCTGCACTTGAAGGCAGTGAGGGTTTCAACTCCTTTTAGACATCAAGAGAGGCTGAAGTCTTTTCCGTGAAATCCCCAACAACACAAGAGTGTCCGGTGACCCACATAGTACCAGGTGGAAACCGGCTGCTCTGCTTCTAATCCAACTCTGTGATAATGTCCCTGGGAAAGCAGTGGAGTGCGGCCCAGGCTTGGGCTCCTGCATCCATGTGGGAGATCTGGAAGAAGCTCCTGGCTCCTGCCTTCGGCCTGGTGCTGCCCGCACCATCGCTGCCGTTGAGGAATGAACCCGTGGATGGAGGATCTTTTTTCTTTTCTCTCTTCCTCTGTCTGCATAACTTTCAAATATATAAATGTCTTTTAAAAAACTGTTATTTCCTTCCACTAATCAAAATGTATGTGATTTTTTAAGCACATACACAGTTTTCCTTTAAAAAGACTACTATGGATGCAGGAGCGAGCTATTCTAAGCTTCTGATTTATCGCCTTCCTGAAGGTAGTCTAGATATTGGTGCATAATGTGTGTGTGGGTTTCTGGGTTCCATCGGGGGGGGCATGCAAGATGACCTTGCCAAGCCCTATGTGGATAGTCGGGCCGTGCATCAGAGTACACTGTTCCCATGGTCTGTTTGCAGAGGAGAGAAATCTTAGAAGATTCTAACAATAGCTGTAAACAAACAAAAAAATTCAAACGTGCTTCAAAAACAGGTCATTTTTCTTAAAGTTGTAGATGTGTTGGGGAAGGTGACAGTACAGACATAGGATCATGGTCATTCCTCCAGAAATGGACTCCTGCCCACAGAAGCTGACTTCGTGTCTGCATTTTGCCCATAGAGTCCTGCCAGTGTAAACCATCAATGCAAAATGCAGTTGCCCTGTTCTCTGGCAGGAGTCCCAGTACTAGGAGCTTGGCATGTTTGCCCATGACAGGCAGGCCGTCCCAGGGGCTGTGGGGTGAGCTGAGGTCACTCTGGCAGCACTGGGCATTGGCCCACACAGGACTGGACTGTGGATGGGAAAAAAAGCGTTGATGCAGATAACAGATTCCCTGGCCAGCATCGCCTCCTGAGATAGGGATTTCTGTCCAGCTGCCAGCAGAAAAGTGTCTTGAGTGAGCTCTAAGGTTTCCCTGCAGATACACATCTTCTCTGGTCAAGAGTGACTCAAACAAAGCCCCTGGAGCTGCAGAGCCAGGGTGGATGGGAAATGTTATATGTGGGGCTGCCTGCCCACTCCTGTTGTGTGTGCGAAGAGCCTGGCAGTTCTTTCACTCCCTACACCTGGTAAGGTTGGCTGCCTCCTTGGGGCTGTGCCCTGTGCCTGGGGGAGGAGCAGTGAGCAGGGCAGGAAGCCCCTTGCCCCCGGGAGCTGCCTCTGTGGGCCAGACAGGGAGACTGTGCATGGGTGAGTGGGTGAGCAAATGGGTGGCTCCCCCAAGCTTGGAAGCCTTGGGCTGGGCTGCGTGGCTCACTGGGTAGGGTCCACTTTGGGGATTGTGGAGTGTCTGGGAGTGACTCCAGGAGGAGGCAGTCCTGAAACAGACCCTAAGTGTGAGTGAGAGAAGGGCAGAAATGATCCAGTGTTCCATGCAGGTAAAAGAGTTTGTGAAAACCCAGTAATCTCATTTTGTATTTTGCCTTTCTCCTCTTCCTCAACATTGCCCAGACTGTGCAGTGCTGTCTATAGCATTGTTGATTTTCATTTCTTTTCAAAATGGACTAAAAATATAACTACTTTGCATGTACATATCTCATATTTTATAAGAAGATTATGAATGGCAGGAAGGGAAACCTATGCAATGCATGGCAGGAGGAGGATGGAGGAATAGAACTCGGGATGGGGGCAAAGGAAATGTTATTTTTATCTGAAATGTTTTAGTCACTTAAATGAGACTTTAAGAGGCCAACATTGTGGGGCAGCAGTAAGCCACTGCCTGAGCTGCCTGGCATCCCGAATGCGCGCTGGGTTGAGTTCCGGATGCTCTTCTTCTAATCCAGCTCCCTGTTAATATGTTGGGAAAGCTGCAGATGGTTCAAGTGTTTATCCATCTACGCTCTCTTGGGAGATCTCAGTGGTGTTCCTGGCTCCTGGTTTCGGCTTGGCTCAGCCCCCAGCATTATGGCCTTGGGAGAGTAAACCAGTGGATGGAAGATCTTCCTCTGTTAACTCTCCTTTCAAATCAATAAAGCTTCGGTAGGGAGTAAAAGGCAATTCCGGATGGTTGGTGCGTGAGTGTAAGTCACACTGTCCATACAGAGATCCTGCAGATGGGCTGTGGGGTGTTGCAGTGGGAGGGGCTGCTGCACTGTGTGCTTTCCCAGGTCCTCCAGTCAGGAGCTTTGTCTGGGCAGCAGTGAGGGCCACTCTGAAGGACAGATGCTGCGTTATGCTGAAAGGCTCGCATAGCAGGCCTGGGACCTTCCCCTGCCCCTGGTTGACTGCGGTCCACTGCCACTGGTACGGATCCGCTTGGCATCCTTTCAAAAGAACTGTGGCCAGGGCCAGGGTTCTTGGGGTTAGTCCATGATGCAACCGAGCTTATGCTCCTTCTGAGACAGCACTCCAGCTGTCCAGGGCAGAGAGCAGGCCTGCAACTTTGGTTCCTTTGGGACAGAGTGTCGCAGGCTGGCAGTCCACGTGTGCCCTAATCAACAGGGCACACCAAGTCCTGTCCAGGGGCCAGGGTGGAGGCCACCGAGCGGGCCGCGCTGCTGCTCCTGGAGGCAGCCCTCCAGGGCCGCACTGCTCCTGCCTTCATGTTCTGCTCTGAAGCTAGGGTGAAGAAGATTTACGTAAAAGGCAAAACCTCCTGATTTTAATCATGAGTGCATTGTGTTTTGAGGGTGCTCGGCTCATGTGGGAGCAGGGTCCCAAGGCTTCGGGTCATCCTCGACTGCTTTCCCAGGCCACGAGCAGGGAGCTGGATGGGAAGTGGAGCAGCTGGAACAGGAATTGGTGCCCAGATGGGATCCAGTGCAGGCAGGGCAAGGACTTTAGCCACTAGGCTACTGCGCTGTGCCCCTGTAAGAAATATTCTAACAGTTTCTTAGCCAAGTAGTAACTGTGGGTGCCACAGGGTGTTTCGGAATATGCAGGAATATCCTAAACAGCAGTCATAGCTGATATTCTTTGCAAACAGCAGCTTATCTATATTTTACAGTTTTGTAAAGAAAAACTATTAAGGAATAAGACTGTGTGCCCCAGAGAATCATGGAATCGGTCAAAAGAGAACACATGTTTGTGCATGGGGTGCGGTGGGGTGGCAAGCTTCCCTGCCTTAGATTTCAGAAGAGAGAAAACCATCACAGTGGGATGCTTGCACTGTACCCGGTCGCGCTAAGGACTGGCTGATTACGATGGGCTCACATTCCGTTTTCCTGACGGTCTCTTAACTGGGCCTTCTCTTGGCAGGTCCCCGAAGGAAAAGTTGTCGTTCTTAACTTCAGGTTCATCGACTTGGAGAGTGACAACCTGTGCCGCTATGACTTCGTGGACGTGTACAACGGCCATGCCAACGGCCAGCGCATCGGGCGCTTCTGCGGCACCTTCCGGCCGGGAGCTCTCGTGTCCAGTGGCAACAAGATGATGGTGCAGATGATTTCCGATGCCAACACCGCGGGCAATGGCTTCATGGCTATGTTCTCTGCTGCTGAGCCAAATGCAAGAGGTATTGTCACCTCGTGATGGCAGTCATAGCCCCGATGGCGTCACGATTCGGGAACGCCTGCTGTGTGTCCAGCAAGGCTCTAGGCACTCCATAGAAATATTCACTTCCTTGATCTGAAACCTAAGAACAGCTCCTCCAACACAGAGGGCTAGCAAATGCCCCCAAACCAGCAGCAGACGATTGAAAACCACTGTCTTCAGAAAAAGCACCATGTATTCTTACACATGGAACGAACACGTGAGGCTCACATATAGATACACACAAACATCTCGGAGACACACCTGTTCTCCAGAGCTGTCCCTTGTCTGAAGTGGTCACCACCAGGCGTTCCAGGGCATCTGTGTGCACTGACAGCCGCCTGTGTGCTTCGGAAACAGCTTTCTAACGATGAAAATGCGATCCCGTATTCATTTTCTTGGGGTGCCATTTCTTGGGGTGCTCTCATATCGGGTCGTGTGTTTATAGGTGAGCTCCCCAGGGGAGACGCCTCTGCCCTGGGTAGGCGGCTGCGGGGGAGCGGGGTGTGGAAGCTTTCAGCTCTCATTGGAGGGCATGCCCTCATCTCTTCCAGGCTTGGGTGGTGTGCAGCATTACCAGCGGGCCGTGTCAGAGGTCAGGCTCTGGGAACAGGACAGCCAGGAGGCTTGGCAGGAAATTCTGGCAGGAGACAGGATAACGGAGATGTAAATTATGAAAGTGTGAAGAAGGAGAAAATCTTGAATTAGTTAAAGCCAAACCAGGTACAGAAGCATCACAGCATTTTTTAATGCGCTGGAGTAAAACTGTCAGCTAGATTCTATAGCCAGTCTTAAAAAAAAAAAAAGTGAAGGGCCCAGCGCGGTAGCCTAGTAGCTAAGGTCCTCACCTTGCACACACCAGGATCCCATATGGGTGCTAATTCTAATCCTGGCTGCCCTACTTCCCATCCAGCTCCCTGCTTGTGGCCTGGGAAAGCATGGCCCAAAGCCTTGGGACCCTGCACCTGTGTGGGAAACCCAGAGGAGGCTCCTGGCTTCATATTGGCTCAGTTCTGAGCATTGTGGTCACTTGGGAGGTGAAGCATCAGACAGAAGATCTTCCTCTCTGTCTTCTCTTCTTTGAATATCTGACTTTCTAATAAAAATGAATAAAATCTTTTAAAAAAGAAAGTGAAACACACAGCTGCAGAACACTCCAGATACTTGAAAGACGTTTCACGCTTGTACAGTAGGAACTGTCGAAGGAGGTTCTTTAGGTTGGAAGGAACGTCCCGTGGCGGGCCACCTGAAGGAACGCTGGCCGTTGGAAATGAACGTGTTGATTTCTTTTGATTTTCTTATTTTCAAAAGGTCCACTTATCTTGTAAAAGTCCACGTAGCCCTGTGTTGTAGGGTGTTACACCGCCCGCCCGGCAGAGGGCAGGAGCTCAGCGGAGCTTCACTGTTGTGCTTGCGTGCACACATCCAGGTGCAGTGCGCACAGGTGCGGCGTGAACTATAGGTGGGCTGTGATGGAGCTGCCTGGGGACATGCAGGGATTACAGGGACATGTCACAAGGTTCAAATAGCATTGCGGAAGTTAGAACACTAGAACGCAACTTTCTTGAAGGTGGTTCCGTCTCCGCCTCCTCTCAGCCAAGGAAGGGTGAGACAGATGGGAAAGAAGCAGCGTATCATCACGTGGATTAGCTTTGAAGGATGAGACTCTAATAGTTGTTGTTAGAACGCGTTAAAAAGAATACCCGACTACAGGTTTTCTCCAAGAAAGTACCTGAAATACAAAGACCAAAAATAGGTTGAGAATAAAGGGTCGGAAAATGAAAACGCATGCTGTTAAAAATACAGTGCTGTAAATATGAATGGACAGCCTGTAAGTGGCATGGGTGGGGAAGGGATGGACAGCTTGCGGGTGATGGCTTCTGTGTCATCATGGGAGTCTGAGTTACGTGTGCCCACAGCTAAGATCTGTGCATTCAGAGTGTGTGAGCTTACCCGCCCACCCACCAGACTATCAGAATAAAAAGAAGGAAGCAAGCGCTGGGGTTTGAGCAGCAAAATAGAATAGCAGAATGACGGTAATTGTTCAAAGTGGATAATGGGTCTATTAGAGGTCTTTATGTTATTTTATGTAATTTGTAGATGCATGGAATTTTCTTTAACAAACCAAGGCGTTTGAAGTTATTCCAACCCTCAATTTGGACAGTATAGTTTCCTAAACTTACAGATTTAAGAATAATTGTCTTCTATACCAAAGATATATTCTACTAGTATGTATTAATTGCTGCGCAAGTCTGGTCAGTTAAATTCAAGTAACTTTAAATTCTGAGTTCTGCATTAAAGTAACTTTCTGAACTGGCCCCTCCGTGGAATGCCGACACCACAGAGGGTATCTTTACCCACCCCACCACAGCACTGACCCCAGCTCTCTTGTTTGAAAGACACAACTCAGGAGCTGCCTGTGCCTTTATTGACCACGTGGTGTGACTTGAGGAAGCTCAAGGGCAAATGAATCTGTAGGATCAGGCTGGGCGAGGGGTATCGCTCTGCTTAGTACACTGGTGTGGCACGTGGCAGTGCCTGGCACGCATTCCCGCTCTTGGCTCCAGCGTCCTGTTGAGGCAGACCCTGGGAGCACCAGTCATTCCTGCACCCAAAGGAAGGCCGAGTCCCTAGCTCCTGTCTGCTGGCCAGTCCAGTCCTGGCTCGGCCATCGCAGGGGAGTACACCGGAGTTCTGTCTCTATCTCTCAGGTAAATACTGTTTTTTTTGGTGAATGAAAATTGGTAAACTTATTTTGGTGCAACATTATTTTAAATCCATGCACTTTTTTGTAGTACACATTATCCAGGAACTTTATATGACTTCTCATATCTGCATGGATTTAAAAAAAAAAGTTTTGTGCCAAAATAAACTTTTAATTCTATTTCCCATGGACTTTTTTCCCCTAAGATTTATTTATTTTGATTGCAAAGTCAGATATATATAGAGAGGAGGATCTTCCATCGGCTGATTCACTCCCCCAAGTGAGCGCAATGGCCAGAACAGGAGCCAGGAGCCTCTTCCAGGTCTCCCACACAGGTGCAGGGTCCCAAAGCTTTATGCTGTCCTCGACTGCTTTCCCGGGCCACAAGCAGGGAGCTGGATGGAAAGCGGGGCTGCCGGGATTAGAACCGGTGTCCATATGGGATCTTGGTTTGCACTCGGCTTCCGCGCTGGGTCCTGGATTTTTTGAAGTGCCCTGTGGTATCAGCTAACGTTTCACACGTGTGATCTTGCTGTGACTATACTGCTGTACCCAATATCAGTGTATACGCGTCTGCAATGCTTTTCCTCTGTGTTTGCTCACTTCAGGAGATCAGTACTGTGGAGGACGCCTGGAAAGACCTTCTGGTTCTTTTAAAACCCCCAACTGGCCCGACCGGGATTACCCTGCAGGAGTCACTTGTGTGTGGCACATCGTAGCCCCAAAGAATCAGGTGAGGGTCCCTGCCAGTGTGGGCTGGCCTGTGCCGAGTGGGCGGAGCCTCTGAGTGTCCAGTGTGGGGCTTACCTGAGAGCCGAGGACACCGAGGCTCTGCAGGACTCAGGTGTTTCTGCATAAGATCAAGTTTGAAGTCAACCCTTTTCACTGTTTGACTTGCAAGGCCTTAGATTTAGTTGCCTAATTTCCAGTTTGCACAACACGTGCTAAACAAATCCCATGGCAGATATTCTGAGCCTGACGTTAGCATGGACTGACTGTGGGAGGGGCCCTGTGTGTTTCCGGCCCTGCGTGCAGTCGCCACAATGGCCGGTGAGGAAGTTTACAGGCTTGGCTGTTGCAAAGCAGAGCTCGAGCAGAGCACACCATCCCTGCAGAGAACTCTGTCTGCTTTAGGGGGTTTGTGGTTATGTAAAAGAAAACCGCAGCAGGTTCCCCACGAGGGGCTTCGTTCACTGCTTTGAAGGGAGAGGAGTTTCCCCGTAGTTGAGTTGTATGAATTTTTGCTCTCTCTGGAAACCACCTTCAGAACTTACTGATAGAATTTGGCATAGGAATAGATGAAACTTTGTAGACTTAAAAATGACTTTGTAAAACTTATTCTAATTATAAATGCTGTAACCTGGAGTTTAACCCAAATACTAGAAGATGTTGTATCAAAACATTTTTTTCTAGATCGTTCCTTCATAAGGATGTCCAGTGCTATTTGACATACATACTTTTAATATAAAAATTTTGAGGCAACTAAGCTATGCAAGCAGTGCTTTGAATGCATATCTGCAATGTTTTCACACACCTGAGTGAGAATCCTACAACTGCACATATTTTAAAGAAAAAGTCATTGATATAATGCAAGATTCTCTAAATCTGCTGCAGATTGTTGTTTAAAATTACATTTCTGAAACACTGAAGTCGTTATCTAATTGTTGAGAAAGGCTTTGATCATTTTCTGCTCTGTCACATCTCTGGCTCTGTTTCACCAAATGATTTGCACTTAGTTTTGTGATTACAGTTTAGCATCGCTTTCCGTCATTTCCCCTCTGGTTACTGAACATGTCAGTTTGATGTTCCTACTGTGGAGTTGGGCTCCAGCCCGTTGAGTTTTCAGTCTCTGTTGCCGTGATTGAGATCACCGGCAGCTCTGTCCAAAGGAGGAAACGTCATGGGAAAGCGAAGTCCTAAATCAGTGCACGGCGGTGGGAAGTTTCTACTTTTAAGAAATTGCCTCCACTTTTAATCATGTCCTTCTCCTCTAGTTTCTTACTTAAAAAATAAAAACCTAAACATTTTTACGTGCTAATTTCTCAGTTGAGAACAATCAGCCGATGTTTTAATGCACTGCGAAGTATCTTATTAGTCAGCAGTAAGAAGTCAGTGGCCTCAGAGAGGAAGTCATTGAAATTTACAATGTAAAGCAGTGTTGAGTATGAACACGCTGTTGTGCACGCGCCCTGTACAGGTGTGGGATTAGGCAAGCCCACGTGTGCCTTTACATCCTTCCGTGACTGTGTAGAAGTCTTCTTTAGCTAATGAGAATTAAAGCTTATTGTCAAATAGGATCACTGTCCCTTTGGGTTCCCTGAAGTTACGCAAGGTTCCTGTCCCCCTGCAAGAGTGGATCTCAACTTCTGGGTGCCCTGGGTATTAGCCGGGTCAAGGAGTGTGTCTTTGACCCGCATGCTGACCGTGCTCCTTAAAAAAGGATTCAAACGGAAACGCTTGGCTGCCCATTAGATAACAATTTTCTATTCATCTGAATAATTTCTGCACACTGTTACTGGTACCAGCACAGCAAAAATAAGAACTGAGAATTCTAGCTCTGACTTTGCGTATCAGCATTGTCTGAGCTGCCACATTCCAAGGAGACCGTGCTTCAAATATACTGTAAGAACTCACTGCAGGCCATTCCCACTTCTCTGAATCATGGGCCTAAAAATGCGTCTGCTTATGTATGATAGTGATTAAGCCTACTTCCTGGCAAAGTGCAGCAATCCTATGCAAGCATTTCACACCCCCATCCCCTCACCATACCCGGACATGCGCTAACAGGGGGCACCTTGGATAATACATTTTAGAAACATTTTTGTCACTTTGCTTCTAGAGGAGCGTGGAGTTGGTAGGCAGTCCCCAGGTCACATTCAGTTATCCAGTTGTTGTCATTCATTCTTTGGTTTAGTGAGGTACAGTTGGCAACTACGAAATGACATATCTACAATACACAGTGTGCTCTTCTGATACATCAAACACCGTATTGTGACAGGATGCTCACAGTCAAGCTAACATATCCGTCATATCCCATGGTTAGGTTTTTATTTGTGAAGGTGTGTGTTGTAAGAGCATCTCAGATCTCCCCGCGGTGTGCAGGTCCACAGTCGCCAAGCTGGGCACTAGCGCTGCAGGCGCAGTCCACCTTCACATAGCTCGCTAGAGTTCATTCGTGTCCACATGCTTTTCAACAGAAATGCCGAGTTCAAGATCCTCCTGGAGTAGATCTGGGTTTGAAACAATTTTTGGGATGACAAAAATGAAAAGAAAACAGGTTTTTTGTTTAAAAAAAAAAAACAAACGAACGAAAAAAATAAGTAACGAGAAAAGCAGAATGAATAAAATTTGTTTTTACTAAAGAAAATCCTATGTGTTACACCTGAGGGGAGAGGAAGAATTGCATTTGCAGTCATTCCGCAATGCTAATTGGGTGCTTCTAATCTTGTTCTCTCTAAAGCTTATAGAATTAAAGTTTGAGAAGTTTGATGTTGAGCGAGACAACTACTGCCGCTATGATTACGTGGCCGTGTTCGATGGTGGGGAAGTCAACGATGCTAGAAGAATCGGCAAGTACTGCGGCGACAGTCCGCCGGCGTAAGTACGGCCTACTTATGGCATCACTAGCCTGGCTCTTTTTTTAAATTTTTACTTATTTTGCAACACAGAAAGGCAGAGGGAGAAGAGTGGCAGAGAATATTCCCTTTCGCTGACCGTTCCTCAAAGGCCGTGATGGCGGGGCCTGAGTGAGGAGCCACAGCGCGGGTCACCCACAAACCCCTTTTCCTTCCTCCTTTCTCACATCCATTGCTCTGTGTACAAATATATATATATAAAACACCTATATATATATATATATATAAAAGCTGCAATTGAAATTCCTGAACTTGCTTCCTTAGTCACCATCTCTTCCCGCTCTTAGGCATAACCATCAGTATGTGTACCATACCACTTGATTTATGCATTCATTCCTATGATTTCCCACAGACACAATTAAATTCAATGTATTTTTCAATTCTCATTCATTCTTAATTAGGTTTTTAAAAAGCTTTAGTTTTAATTTTTTATTAGGAAGTCAGATATACAGAGAGGAGAGACAGTGAGAAAGATCTTCTGTCCATGGGTTCACTCCCTAAGTAGCCACAATGATAAGAGACCAGGAGCCTGGAGCCTCTTCTGGATCTCCCACACGGGTGCAGGCTCCCAAGGCCTTGGGCCGTCCTCAACTGCTTTTCCAGACCATAAGCCAGGAGCCGGATGGGAAGCGCAGCCCCTGGGATTAGAAGCAGCATGCATATGGTATCCCGGTGCATGCAAGGCGAGGACTTTAGCTGCTAGGCTACCACACCAGACCTATATAATTAGGTTTTATGAGATTAAGAATGTTTTGATACACACGGGTTAATTACAGATCAAATATAAACCTACCCAATTCTGTTTTTCCGACTGGTTGTTGGAGAAAGGTCCATTTCTAGGTTATTACAAAAGGTGTCCCTCTGAATTCTTTGTCCAGTGTGGCTATAACAAAATGCCACACATGGAGTGAGATGGAATGATGGATTATTTTCTTGGAGTTCTGCAAGTCAGCGGTGTAGAAATTGGCACCCCTGGGCTAACCCGTGTCAGCAGGCGGTTTGCTTCTGGAAGCTCTGAAGGAGCCTGGGCCCCCTGGGCCTTTGTTCAGTGACTGTCCGCAGCCTTCAGAGCACAGCGCTCGCTCCTGGCTCCTGGGTCGGGCTTCCTTCGCTCCTGCACACAGCTCTCCTTCTTTTCCATGACGTCGTGGTTCCAGAGGGGGATCACTCAGTGATGTGGGGTACTCCTGCTCCCTTAAGATTCATAACCTAAGCATACGAAGTCCCTTTGCCATCACAGGTTCCAGATGTGGCCATCGTTGGGGACCAGTAGTTCAACCAACACACCTTCTTTACTAAAGCCAGTCCTTGCATCGCTTTCCTCGCTCTGACCTCTGCTTTTGTTCTTCGGAATCTTTCCTCGATCACTTAGGTATCCTAGCGCAGACAGCGAAAGAGCGATCACGCCAGACACGTGTGAGGGTGTTAGGAGGGGCCTTAGTTAGCCAGGCTTGGCGACGGCAGCACCTGCTGCACTCCTGGAACCGCTGAGCACATGGCCGAAGCCAGGGCTTGTTGAAGCTGTCATTCCACGCATCAGCCAGGGATTTCCGGTCAGTTCCTGGGTTTCAGATCAATCAACTTGCATCTTAAGCCAGTCAGACACAGACGTGTGTGGTTGTGTTTAGCCACAGTTGAAACCCGGTGCTGCCCTGGGGTGCTCTGCCACAGCTGCGCCCTATTCCACAGTTCGTCCTCCTCCGAGGAATGCAGGGATGGATGCTACGTAGAAAGTCTATCCATTTCAGTTTATACAAGGTCCACATTGAAGTGGACCTTGTAGATTCATGGTTTTATTTATTGGAGATGTAGTCAATACTTTTTTATTTTTTAAAAATACCTATTTGTATTGGAAAGTTAAATCCACAGAGAAGGAGAGACAGAGAGAAAGATCTATCTGCTGGTTCACTCCCTAAGTGGCCACAATGGCTGGAGCTGACCCAATCCAAAGCCAGGAGCCAGGAGTCTCCTCTGGGTCTTTCACGCAGGTGCAGGGTCCGAGGGTTTTGGGTCATCCTCTGTTGCTTTCGCAGGGCACAAGCAGGGAGCTGGATGGGAAGTGAAGCAGCAGGGACATGAACCACCCGCGCCCACCTGGGATCCTGGTGCATGCAAGGCAAGGACTTTAATCATTAGGCTACTGGGCCGGGCCCAGACTTTAATTTTTAAAAAAGATTATTTGAAAGGCAGACTGGCAGAGACCTTCCATCCCCTACTTGACTCCTGCAAATGCCTCCATTCCCTCTCCACCAATGGCTGGGGCTGGTCCGAGCTGAAGCCAGGAGCATGGAACTCCACCGCGGTCCCACGTTGTTTGGCAGGGGCCAAGCACCCGTGCCATGCTCTGCTGCCTTCCCAGGGGGCATCAGCAGACAGCTGGATCCGAAGGGGAGCAGCCAGGACTCACACTTGTGTTCTGAAGAGGGGATACCAGCCCTGCAGCACAATGTCAGGGCCAGGAGCTTTTCTAACGTAGCTTGAATAACGTTTTGTATTTAAAAAATCTATATTTTTAAGGTCACAGAAATATAAAATACTCAAGAATAAATCTGAACAACCTTGAGACAACATCCTAACTAGAAACTTACAGAATTTCCCTAAAGGATATTGAAAAATACCTAAGTAGATGGAGCGGTGTACAATGCCAATGAGTGGGAAGGTGCAAACATTTAAAAAATATTGAACTAAATAAGCTTTTGTTATCCTGGCAGTTGGGTTCTAAAAGGTATGGGGATTTGCAAGGGATTAGGGACCAAGTGAAGCCAGTTCCGTAAAAGCAGCAGCTGGCAGCTGGTGCCTTAGTATGAAGCCACATCAGGTAGCTGCTGTGAGGGGACTGTGGTTTAGAGAGCAGGCCAACTGACTCAAGTGACAGCAGAGACCAGAAAGATGCCCGCCTGTGTCTTCGGCTTGGACTATCACAGCTCAGCAGTGAAAGCAGGGCCCTGCTGGACAGTGGGGCAAGGGGCTGTTTGTATCCAGACGGGGAAAAGGGCTTCATATGATCTCTATTCATAGCTGATGTTACACAGAAATTCATGGCACCTGCACTGGGAACTTACGTGAGAATTTCTGTCTGTCAGAATATTTCTGACGGGCTGCTATGATGGCATAGATGCCGGTTTGTGTCCTTGTTGCTCTGCTTCCCATCCAGCTCCCTGCTTATGATCTTGGAAAAGAGTGGAAGATGACCCAAGTCCTTGGGACCCTATACCCACATGGGAGACCCGGAAGAAGCTGCTGGCTTCGGATCAGCTCAGCTCTGGCCATTTGGTTTGGGGAGTGGATGGAAGATCTCTCTCTCTCTCTTCTCTCTATAAATCTGCCTTCAAATATAAGTAATAAGATAATCTTTATATATATATTATATATATATGGGAAAGGCATGAATATAAGCAGATACTTGTAACATATTATTTGACAAGGCATAGATGCCAAAAGATAACACTAAATCATGGAAATTATTGGAACACACTACAAACCAGTGAAAAAATGGGTAAAAGACATGAAAAGGCATTCCCAAAAGAAGAGGGCCACACAGTGACTAAACTTTTGGAAAGAGTGTAACCTGGCAGCCCATGTTCGGCAGTTCCTCTGTGTGCATCCTGGGAGGCGGCAGGTGGCGGCTCAATGTAGCATGAGCTTTGGGGATAAGTGGATGTTAACCTATCATATCTGTTTGGTTCCGTGTATTAGTAATCCGCTAGAATTCCACCCAAAAGCATTCCTTGCACTCAAGTCGTGTGCTGAGCAATAGGTTAGGTGCGCACAACACAGAAAGCAAAAATGCAGACAGAGAGTGGGAGGGAACAAAACATGGTGGGCAGTTAAATTGGCAAAAGGGTGTCCTGGTAGATTTGTGAGTGGTCCTTTGGCCCAGGCTGGACAAGTGATTAGAGGCAGCTCTTTTTTTTTTTTAAGATTTATTTATTTTTGATTGGAAAGGCAGATTTATAGAGAGAATGAGAAAAAGAGAGAGATCTTCCGTCTGCTGGTTCACTCCCCATGTGACCTCAATGGCTGGAGCTGTGCCGATCTGAAGACAGGAGCCAGGAGCCTCTGCTGGGTCTCCCGTGCAGGTGCAAGGCCCCAAGGCTTTGGGCCATCCTCTGTTGCTTTCGCAGGCCACAGACAGAGAGCTGGAAGAGACGTGGAGCAGCCGGGTCAGGGATTGGTGCCCATATGGAGTGTGCAAGGCGAGGATTTAGCCACTGACCTTTGCTGGGATGGAGGCCTCTCTTTAGAGGAGAGTGCCTCTTTTAGCTTCAAGGCAGACTTGGGGTGAGATGGAGGTCGTGGGAGGCAGACTCATTCCAGGCAGAGAAAATTTCACTAAGAAGGATTCACCAGGGGGAGTTAAATGCCAGTTGTGGAATTGAGACCTTGAGTTAGACTTGAGCCAGAGATGCGGCAGGAGGGTAAAGCTGATTTTCAGATCCCTCCAAGTGCACTCAGGCAGGCGGTGGTCTGCCACTGGTTCTAGGCCCTTCCTGCATGACCAGATGAACAGGGAGGCAAAGGGAGCTGTCTTAGTGGACCGGGTGAAGCCGAGGAGGCAGAGAAGGCGGTAGGGATGACAACAACAGGACACAGAAAGGAGGCAGACCTGGCAGGATTTGATGGTTGGCTGTAAGATTCAAAGGGTGACAGGGGTGACAAAGCAGGGGTGGCTCACAGCACACTGTGCCACCCAGACAGCATCTTGGCCTTCCCTGGGACCTGCCCCTTCAGAGGGGAGCCGAGTGAGATTTCTTCTTGTCTTCCTGCTTATTTGTAACATTAATTTGCAGATAGCAACACTTGGCTGTCTTTTCATGGCGCCGCGATTGTCGCATTTATGACAGCGCCCAATAGAAACATAACAGAAATATATCGTCTTTGTTCCCAAAATACCCTGCCTGAAGAAATTCAATTTCCTCTGCAAGGCCCTGAATGATCACAGTAATTATCCCATCAGGCACAGAAGTGTGGAGTGGAAGTGGTCTCCAGATTTACTTCATTGTGTACAAAAGCTGCTTATTCTAATTCTGTCATTTATGCAAGATTAGCATGTTTTATTTGTGATTATAGATGAGAATTATGTTCAGTGCATTCTATTTAACAGGACATAGTGTTTTTTTTTTAATGCAAAACAGATCATTTTTGTTAAAAGCATGAATCTAGAAGGCATCAGGTCACTTTCCTGACTGGAATCATCAGTAGGTGTCACCAGGCTCACTTTTAGGTTTGTGTCGTCCTTGGCTTACAAAGCACTCATGCAGGATGAAAAGATCTGAGCTTTCTCTGCTGACTGGGTCAAGTGCAGATCTGTGCTCCCTCCAACAGGAGGGAGGAGGAGGCAGAGTGAGAGTTGGCCCAATAATTTCTGTGCTTGATGCCCAAGAAGCAATTTAGCTATAAAGATGCCTCAAAAACGTTTAATTTACTAATTAAGCTGTTTATTTAGTTTTTAAATATAACAGTGGTAAAAACTATTTTTACCACTGTTTAGTAATGGCGTAGCCATGATGTGTCCTGTAACTAGCCCCAAGAGTGAAGCCAGCACTGGTACCTTAATTATCTCCGTGAAGCCTTTAGTGCCAGCTCAAAGACCCCCAGATACAGTGCTCGTCAGTGGTCATTCCTGACCATCAGAACAGAAGGATCAGTTCCCTTCCTAGCCTGTTCCTAATAGAAATTATACACAGAAGTGTTGCCATTCCGGGCATGTACTAGAACTTCCGTTAAGGATGAAATGGGGGTGGGGTGGGCCCTGAGTTCACTCCCATCCCAAAGGAGTACCTGGATTCACGGCAGCTCTGTTCCTGCTTTCTTCCTGCTAATTCACTTTGAGGCAGCAGGTGCTGGCTCCCGTACATGAGTCCCTACCACCCACGTGGGAGACCTGGACTGAGTCCCTCGTCCTGTGCTTTGGCCTGCCAGCACTGGCTGTTGTGGGCATGTCGGGGCATCAGTCGGCGGACCAGCATTCTGTGTGTGTGTCTGTGCATGCACATCCACCCACCTGTCTCTGCCTTTCAAATAACTCAAAAAATTTTTTAAAGAAGAATGAAGTCCCCTTAAGTCCCACAGGCTTGCTCACCCCTTGGTGGGAGCTCCTGAACTGACCTCCTGGCTGTGTCTTTGCTGGGTATGGAACATTGTACACCCATTTGTTAGATCCTTCGTGGTCACCTCTGGCTTGCCAGGTCTGCCTGAAGCCAGTCTCAGCTGAGAGAAGCTGTGCAGTACCCAGTTCAGGCAAGCCTGTGTACCTGGGGAGCAGCCCTGGGGTCACGCCTTCCACTGGGCTCGCGGGCCGCCATGGCCTTTAGAGTCACTGGCTCCTGCATTGAAATTCTGACTTCCCCACATAGTGAGCAGATCACCTGAACCCTCTCAGTGTGAGTTCACATGCAGGTGGCTAACAATAGGGTTATTGTGAGAAGCACTGCATTTGGCTGGGTACGCAGCCACGAAGCTTTAGCTCTCAGCATGCACATTTAGTAGATTTATGACTGCTGTCTTCTTAAAGATTTAACTGTGAGGTTTAAACAAATGGGAAATGTATGACCAGAAATGAGGAAGATGGAAAGCTAGGAAATGTTATATTTTCAGCAAGGTATTGAACATTATACATTCTGTTTTGTTTTGTTTTTTTAATCTTTTTTCTTTCTTCTTTTAGGCCAGTTGTGTCAGAGAGAAATGAACTCCTTATTCAGTTTTTCTCAGACTTAAGTTTAACTGCAGATGGATTTATTGGTCACTACAAATTCCGGCCCAGAAAGCTGCCTGCCACCACAGTGCCACCTGTTACCACCACAGTCCCTGTAACAGCAGGTGCGTTGTTCTGTTTGGAACTTTATGCAGAGACTTCAGGAGTATCTGAATTCTTTTGAAGTAGACAAAAACAGGAGGATACTTGAAACTAAATACATGGCATAGGATGCAAATTCACAGAATATGGCTCCATCAATGAAAGAAAGGTATAGTGTGGGAGACCGCTTGGACCACTATGAGTGCTTATGACCACTTGGAAATTACCCACAAGTGGGGCTAGCAGCAGGTCAAGCTGCTGCTTATGGTGTTGGCTTCCCATACTGGAGTGCTGGTTCGAGTCCTGGTTACTCTACTTCCGATCCATCTCCCTGCTAACGTGCCTGGGAAAACAGTGGAGCATGGCCCAAATGCTTGGGCCTCTGCCCTTCACGGGGAGACCCTGATGGATTCCAGGCTTCTGGCTTCTGCCTGCTCAAGCCCCAGCTATTAGAGCAAGCTGGTGGGTGAATCAGCGGATGGAAGAGTCTCTCTCTCACTCTTCTTTTCAAATACATATTTAAAAAAGGAATGACTGGAACCAGTATTGCGGTGTAGCAGGTACAAGCATCACTCGCCATACTGACATGCCATTAGAGGAGCCAGTTCTTGTCTCAGTTGCTCCACTTAATTCAGCTCTCTGCTAATGCGCCTATAAAAGTAGCAGAAGATGGTCCAAGTGTTTGGGCCCCTGTACTCACATGGGAGATCCAGATGAAGCTCCTGGCTTCAACCCAGTCCAGCACTGCCCACTGCAGCCAGCTTAGGAGCGAACCGGTAGCTAAGATGTTTGTCTCTCCCTCTCTGTAACTCTGAATGTCAGTCTTTGGGAAAAAAAAAAATAGAAAGCCTTCTATAAGCACAGATCACTATAAGCCCAAATTGTAAAGAGGTGGTTCTCTTGATTACATAGAATTGTGGTATGCAGATCAGTGTTTGAGAGCATGATATTTGCCAGGTTTTACAACTGCCTGTGTTTGTACTTACAATACTCCTTAGCAAAATGTCATAAAGAGATATTATTCTCAAATTGACGTAACTAAAAAATATTCATTGTAGTTCAGAAGTTGATTGGGAGACTGATTTGGGGCAGGATCTTAGTGGTGAAGAGATGGGAGGGGTCGGCACCTATAGTCTTTGTATCCTCAGTACACACAGTTTTTTGTATTCTGTCAGCTCCATCTACTGGGATTTCAGGCCTCAGATCTAAAACTCCAAATCCTGGGAGGAGGGGGAAGGGGAAGGATCTAGTGTCAAACTGGCTGAAATAAGCCCAGCCATGCTGCCCACGTTTCCTGCACACAGCCAGGCCTGGGCTGCTCTGAGTCCCTTCAGATGCTTCCTGCACACCTTCCTAGGAGGCCACCTTGTGGCCTGCACGTGTACTGCCTTTTCTTACCTTTGCATTTTTCTGGCCCCTAGTTAGGGACCCTGATAGGACTTGGCGAGTCACATTCCTGAAATAGCAAAGGTGGATTCTGAATTATCTTCTAGACATTTGCAACTGCTACACATTTCAATGAGAAGGTACAGATAACTCATTATTTGATCACTTTTCTGCCTTGAAGCGGCTCTTCTTATTTTGCCAAGCTCTTCCACAACATCAGTAGCAGCACTGCTAGGGTCATCATCTTTGACTTTATCTCAGCTCTCTATTGCATGCTGGGTCCCCCCACAACACACACACACACACACACACACACACACACAGCAGACCAGGTCATTTGCCCATTGAATTAGTATGCTAGCCAATATAGCAACCACCTTTGAAGCACTTGGGAAATGGGAAGGGATACTGGGAACTAAAACATTAATATCTTTATTAATTTAGGTCAGTTCAGGTGGAGCTGCAAGAGATTTAAATTTCAGAGAGTCACCAATGATTGGATGGCTGAAGCCATGACCAAGAGTAAGACTGACTAGGAGGAGACACGTAAGAAACCAAAGAAGAGGGGGTAGGATTCAACTTCTACAGATGCCGTGTGTTTAAAAATTAAAGATTAAAGATTTGCTTGAAAGGCAGAGGGCAGACACATAGAAAAATATTTTCCATGTACTGGTTCACTCATCAGAGAGCTGCAACAGCTAGGAATTGAGCAGGCCAAAGTCGGGGGCCAGGAACCCCATTTGGGTCTCCCATATGTGTGGCAGGGTCCCAAGCACTTGAGCCATTCACTACCTTCCAGGCACGTTACCGGATAGGAAGTAGACAGCCAGGACTCAAACCAAAGTTCTGATATGGGATGCAGCATTGCAAGTGGCAGCTTGACCAGCTGCACCACAACACTGACCCCTGGAGGATCCAGCCTTTTAAGCAGTGGAATATCCTGGAAGAGACTGAAAAGGAGTAGGGGGAGGAAGTTAAAATACAAGAGCATGTGTTGTAGAAGAGACTGTTTTCAGAAGGGAGTGGTCAGATACAAGAGCTGATGATACTTGATAATGGGAGGATGAAAAGATTTCCATTTGATTTTGTGATAAGAGGGCTGTGGAGCCTTTTGAGAGCTGAGTAAGTGGAATTGTGCAGGCAGACGCCAGAGTTGGCTAAGGAATGTGTGCGACAAGGCAAAACGATTGAAGTACAAAGGTCCAGCAACTCGTCTCACAAATTTATCCCCGAAAGAGGGAGAGAGGTCTTCAGACCTTTAATTTGTTAGTCTAGAGGGAAGCAGTCAGGAGGACATAATGGAATCAGAAGGGGATGAAGCAAGAAGGGGAGTTTCTGCAGAGGCTCCCAGGGGCTCCCAGGAGTGGGAACCTTAGAGCAGCGGGTGAGCTCTGTTCTCTGAAAATGACTGGAGGAGAAAGGGCCTTGGTGAGCAGCACCAGCAGGTTTGGTGAGGCTCTCCAGCACTTTCTGCTCCGGCTTAGATTCTCACCTGGCGGGTGGAACAGTCACCTGCTGAGAATAAGCTCTGGAGGTTAGGAGCATGAGAATGGATTTGACAAACATCTGTGGAAGGTAGATTTATGTACTCCAGTGTTGAGTGCAGGCACAGAAAAATGGATTCTCCTGTGGAATTCATGCAGGGTTGTAGCACGGAGGAGAAAGGGAGTTTAAGATGTTGTCAAGAAGTGATTGTGACAGTGGGATGTGGAAATACCAAAGGAAGCAAGCGGTCAAAGGGAACAGAGACAGGCCAAGGGTGATGGATTGGGGGAAAGCCAGGAGGGCAATGTGCTGACATCCAGAAACAAAGAAAAACGGAATCCTGAAAGTAAATAAATAAGCTTGAAGGAGAGGACACTCTGCGGGCTCCTGGGATATCTACGTTTGGAAAGATTGAAAATGCATGAGTTTAGCACCAGGATGTAAGATGTTGAGTATTGCAGAAGGAAAAGAGGAAACCTCCCTGGGAGAATGAGCTAGGGGTCCCCTGCATCATCCTTGGAGAGCAGAGGGCCCCAGAGGTGGCCGCAGGACCCTGGACAGGTAGGCCCTGCAGCAGGGCCCAGGAGGGGGAGTACAGTATGCAAAGCCAGGAGGGGAGTACAGTGTGGAGAGCCATGGGGGGAGTGCAGTGTGGAGGGGGAGAGGAGTGCAGTGTGGAAAAGGGGGAAGTGCAGTGTGGCGAGCCAGGGGGGGAGTACAGTGTGGAGAGCCAGGGGGGGAAGTACAGTGTGAAGAGCCAGGGGGGAGTGCAGTGTGGAGAGCCACGGAGGGGAGTGCAGTGGGAGGGGGGGGAGTTCAGTGTGGCGAGCCAGGGGGGAGTGCAGTGTGGAGAGCCAGGGGGGAAGTGCAGTGTGGAGGGGGGGTACAGTGTGGAGAGCCAAGAGGGGAGTGCAGTGTGGAGGGGGGGAGTGCAGTGTGGAGGGGGGAGTGCAGTGTGGAGAGCCGGGGGGGAGTGCAGTGTGGAGGGGGGGAGTGCAGTGTGGAGAGCCAGGGTGTGAGTGCAATGTGGAGGGGGGGAGGAGTGCAGTGTGGAGGGGAGAGTGCAGTGTGGAGAGCCGGGGGGGGGGGAGTGCAATGTAGAGAGCCGGGGGGCAGGGAGTGCAGTGTGGAGAGCCGGGGGGGGCGGGGAGTGCAGTGTGGAGAGCCAGGGGGGAAGTGCAGTGTGGAGAGCCAGGGGGTGAGTTCAGTGTGGAGGGGGGGAGGAGTGCAGTGTGGAGGGGAGAGTGCAGTGTGGAGAGCCGGGGGGGGCGCAATGTAGAGAGCCGGGGGGGGGGGGAGTGCAGTGTGGAGAGCCGGGGGAATGCAGTGTGGAGGGGGGGGGGAGGAGTGCAGTGTGGAGAGCCAGGGGGGAGTGCAGTGTGGAGTGGGGGAGGCGTGCAGTAGAGCTGACTGAAAGGCAGGAAAGCAGGATCCGTGGGAGAGAGAGAAGGGGCATGTGGTTCTCAGCCAGCTTCTGAACAGACATTCTCAGGTCGGGGAGGAGCTGGTGTCTCACGCTCCACATTAAAAGATGCTCTTCCACAGGACAAGGAACAACACTAATGATACCAGGTTACCTTAGGGCAAATTCAGTCCCCACCTTCTAGAATAATGATAGAACCCTCTCCCTCCAAGCATTTGCTGAGTGTGTTTGCGTGCGCAGGCATGAGTTTCAGCTAGTTAAGTTGTTAAACAGAGTTTGATGTTAATGCTGTAACTTAGACCCTTTTTGGAGTAAAGTATAAAATTAAGAGCGACTAAGAGCAGGTGTTTGGTGTAGTGGATAAGCCACGGATTGGGACACATGTAAATCATATGAGAGAGTCTGGGTTCCAGACCCACTTCTACTCATGACTTAGCTTCTCACTAATGCACACCCAACTTGGGTCCCTGCCACCCATGCAGGAGAACTGAATTAAATTTCTGCATTCAGCCTAAGCCACACATGGCAGGACCCAGTAGATAGAGCTCTGTGTAGCTGTCTAGCTCCAAAAAAATTTTTTTTTTAATTAAGAGTAAGTTCACAGCAGAGCATACTAGGACAATATTACAATTGCAGAAATTTACCCCCAAAGCAAATTCTGCTGGCTATTTAATTTTTCCTAGCATATTACTACACATAAGTTAATAATCAGCAAATGTTTTCAAAACATTTAAAAAATAATAATGGGGGGTATCTCCTGTCATTTTGTTAACACAAGGTTTCTTAGCATTGGTTTCCTAGCATTTCTTAGCATTGCACTAAATTGCTGGGAGGGCAGTCCTGCTGTGGCAGGTTGGTCAGTAGTCCACTCGGCATTTACTTTCCTGCTGCTGGTAGCTCCCCGGTAGGGCAGTCAGAAACGCCTGGAGAGTGTCACCTATGTGGCACAGTCACCCCCTGCTGAAACACACCGTGTTTGCTTTTGCTTTTAACTTTCTCTACTTCTCAGTTCTTAGGTTTCTATAAGCCCATGCCAGGCTCAAAATAAATATTTAGCGAGAGCTTGTACCAATTTACAAATCTGACACTTATTTCTGAATGCCTGCACCGCTCACCCCTTTGCATAGTGAGGCATATTCCGGTCTCACCAAGAAAACCCCTCCCTTGTCAGATACCCTAAGAGTCCCTTTGTCCAGTGGGAGAATGAGCCTGTGATTTATGAATTCAGATTTGTCCTCCGGGGATTTTCTCAGCAGTGCACGCAGAGAGTGAATATCTATTTCTGATTCTAGTGTTAGTAAGTGAAGGAAGAGGAGAACAGGGCTAAATTTGGATTATCTTTGATCTTGGGTTTAAAATACAGTTGTGGGTGTTGAATTGCCTAGAGAGTAGCAGTTGGTAGCGCAAAGACTTTAATGATTTTGTTGCAGTGAGGGATTGGTAGCTTGGGGAAATGAATGGACATGTTAAAATTGATATCTCCAGACATAAATGTCAATTAATCTTGCATCCATTTTCTTTCTTCAAGGTTTAAAACCCACCGTGGCCCTCTGTCAGCAAAAGTGTAGACGGTCGGGCACTCTGGAGAGCAACTATTGTTCAAGTAACTTTGGTAAGAAATAAAAACCAGCCCTTTCTCCCTAATCAGAAACGTGAGTGTATGGGCATGGTCCCCAAGGAATGCCTGCCAGTGTCGTGGGGAAGGTCAGCCACACTGCCTACTCACCTGAGAATTACCCACGAGGCATACTGACTTGTCAGATTTCACAAGACAGAAAAATGCATTCAGTACAGGAAATATGCTGTCTTCACTTAAAGTGAATAATTTGGCTGTTAGCATATGTAACTGTTACTCTTGTATTCTGACTCTAGGAGAAAACAACAACAACAACAACAAAAAAAAACCTGCCTGGTTTTTGTTGCTCATGTTTCATGCCCAGGGTAGTTTTACACATGTCTGAAATTCAAGTCAAGGCAAAATCTGCCCAGGCTCCTGCTCAGGATCTGGTCTCTCCCAGCAGAAATTCAGGCATGTTCACTATAATATTATTTTAAGAGAACTAAAGTGAAACTTGGGCATCTCAAGTCCAGTTGGAATCACATGAATTGAAACCTAGGAGATGCTACTTAATGACTTGGAGTTTCAAAGAGTTCTTCCAATCAAAAAATTGTACCCTCTGGGGAACCCACCAAAGACCAAATAAACATTTCATTATGTTGGTTATTTTTTTAAAGCACCTTTAGAGCAACATTTAAGAAAAAATGTGTTATCAGGAACAAAAAGTTGGGAGAGCCTGGGTAGGTTACCCAGACACAGGACCTGCCCAGAGCACCTTTGCTTGCTTTGTGATTTCAAGTGGTATCTGCGTGCAGCCTAGAGGAGCTGTGTTGGAGTGCAGTGTCAAGATGCTGACCAGTGGGAAGCCGTAAACCTTACTGGAGATTGAATGCAGGAATTCAAATAGCCAGCTTAAAGATGAAAACCAAGGTGGAGGTGTCTTCTCTGTAGGGGTGCCTTGGGAGAATCCCTACCCCATGTCATGGCTGCACTTGGCTGCAGACCGACATTCGCAGTGAGCGGTCATCACCTGGCACGCTTGGGGAAAGTTCTGAGAGTTCAGGAACTATGCATTTTATGAGCTGGGCAGCAAGTGCCCACTTGAGCCTTAAGAACTCACATTTGCCAAATTCAGAGCTTGATTTATCCATTTGAATGTGTCCACTTAACATGGCGAAGTGACCAGATTCTGTCATGGGTGGCCTAGCTCAACTCGAGCTGGTAGGGGCAGATCCTGGTTGCCACAGGATCTGGGGAGTGCTGCTGGGGTTTCTGGACAGGAAGAGGTAAACACATCATTTTTTTCCAAGTTCTGTACCACAAGGACTCACACCCCTCCTCAACCTGCCATGTCCAAATGTCATAAGTGCCATTTGAGAAGTTAAGTGTGCAGTATGTTTTTTTTTTTTTTCATCAGACAAGAGATCTTTCTGATGGGAAAAAATGAAAGCAAAAAGTCATAGAATGAATGTGAATTTCCTGGTTATTAGAGATAGAGCTGCGAGAAATGAAAAAGTTTCCGGAGGGAAGACAGCTATAGAGACAGCTGAGAGAAAAGCAGCACCAAAGCTCGGGTGTTATGGAGTGGGCATCTGGGCCAGCAGCTAAGATGCCCTTGTCCCACACTGGTGTGCCTGGGCCTGATTCTCAGCTGTTCCAACTCCAGCTTCCTGCTAAGGCAGCTTCCGGAGGGCAGCAGTGATGGTTCAAGTTTCTGTCGACCATTCTGGGAGAGCTGCGTGCGCTGCCTTCCCGGCTCTTGGTTCCAGCTCTGGTTCTGTCCCGACCATGTGGGCATTTGGGGAGTGAAATAGTAGCTAGAAACTGACTGACTGTATGTATCTCAAATAATTTAATAAATTATTATCTTTTTGAGATTGTAGTGATGCAGATCCCCCACCTTAGAACTTTCAGAAGTGAATTGCCTTTAAAGATTATTGTTAACAGGCAGAGGTTTCAAAGCTCTTTGTTTAGTAATTGATCCACATGTTGGATACAACCTTTTGAAGAGTTCTCCTCTTAGCAACTGTCTGTGGAGTGGGAAGTATTTAGCTGTCTCTCCGAGTTACCAACAGCACACAATCAGGGTAATATTGCTCTGTTCCCCCCTCTTTTTTTTTCTACCTTGAATTTTAGTGACAAATGAACAGAATCAAATTCAAGGACTCTATTATGGCCTTAAGAAAACCATTAAAATGTTTCAATGGCAGGTATTTGAGGTGGTAGACACCAGTTAGGACCCCCACATCCCTGGGTACACTGCCCAGCTCTTGGCTCCTGATTCCAACCTCTTACTAATGCAAGAACCTGAAAGGCATGGGCGGTGACTCACATGGCTGGGTCCCTTCCAACTATGTGGGACACTCGGACTGAGTTCCCAGCTCCTGGCTTTGCCCTTGCCCAGTCCTGGCTGGTACAGGCATCTGGGGGTGAATCAGTAGATGAGAGCTCTGTCTTATTCTCCTTTATTTTCCTGTCCGCCCCCCCCATCCGCCAAATTAATATATAAAATAAGACTTGCTAGACTTAAAAAATTATTTTGTCTGTTTGCTTTTGCTGCCTTCTGCAGTGTTGGCTGGCACTGTTATCACAACCGTCCCTCGAGGTGGGAGCCTGCATGCCACCGTCTCGATCATCAACATCTATAAAGAGGGTAATCTGGCAATTCAGCAGGCTGGCAAGAACATGAGTGCCAAGGTCATTGTGGTCTGCAAGCAGTGCCCTCTGCTCAGAAGAGGTAAGTGAGAAGAAAAGCTTTGGTCTTTCCTCTAGGGGAGTTCAAGGGTAGAGAAGGGATGGAGAAGGCCACTCTAGCAAAACATGTCTGGTCTAAGGAGTAAAGTCAGGGCTGACATAGGACTGCTTCCTGGGGAGCAGCATTGCTGTTGGAGGAAGGCAGAACTGGGCTCTCACCCCATGTGTGTAACCACAAAGGGCAGAGAGGATGATAAAGGAGTCCAAGAAGCTGAGTCATTATAGAGGATACACAAGAGAGCAGCTCAGTGGACAGAGATTTTTGGAGGGGGAAAAAAAAAATGAAGCGCAGAGCTGAAGTTCAGAGCAAAGAGTCTGCCTGAGCCAGAGCCAAAGGTTTGCATAAGACCATGAAGTTCATGGGTAGAAATGCGTTTAGTACGAGGAATTGTGAAAGGCAAAGTTACTGCAGAGGCATATGACTTTGGACACGTTTTTAAACTCAGTGTGGTTGGCCTACTTGGATGACTGGATCATATCACGCAGGTTCAGCTGCAGCTTTCCCTGCAGAAAGCAAACATAGACATCGTTCTGCACCTGCAGACAGAGAGCCTGCTACTTTGGAATGGTCATGATTCAAACCTTTCCTATGTCAATACCAAAGCAGCAACACACACACAGAGATCCAGAGTATCCATTCCAAGAGAGCTTTTCCGGGAGCTCAGACTGTTCTGAAAAGCCAGGAGGCCAGCAACCTTATGTTAGTCCTCCGAAGGGAATAGCAAACACTCAGTAGAAGTTAAACAATTGTTTCCCAGAACTGCCAGGAGTAGCAGATAGCACATGCTAGATTCTGTGGGTAAGGATGCCAACAGTGCCGCCTTGAGAGGGCACCAATCTGCTCAGCCTGCCAGGTTCCCATGGGCTCCCCGTGTTACCCTTCACAGGAAGGGCTAAAGGAGAGAAAAAACAATGCGCTTCTCCTGTGACACACAGGGAAAGGCACAATGTCGGGACAATATGCATCTCTTTCACCACACACACACACACACACACACACACACAGAAATCTTGAGAGCTGAGCCCAAGACATGCTCCAGTCCTGGTTTAGTTTAAGCCAGACATACCAATAGTGTGTGTGTGTGTGTGTGTGTGTGTATGTAAAAAATAGTATAACAAACATCAGCACTTTTGAGAACCAATAGCAGTGGTGGGCTGTGGATAGAAGATGAGTATGTTCCATCCAAGCCAAGTCTTAAGATGTTGATAAAAGTCCCAAACAACAGGAGAGAGTAGATCACACGTTGCTAAGTGCCAGGGCACCGTGAGAGACCATCTGGGGGTGGCCCATTGTGAAGCGCTGCAGGCCCATGGCAGGAGAGCCTTCCGTGGGACCCTTGACAGCGCATCCTTCACAAGGCTCAGCAGCCCCCCACCCCATCTGCGCTGCTGCCTGGGAGGTGGGGCTGGATCTAATGACTTCCTTCAGTTTCCTGGTGTTCATAGCGCTGGGGGGATGCTACTCGTTGACTTCAGCTTTTTCCTGAAGAGAGATTTAAACCAGAGTTTTATATTAGATAGAATGAACATATAATCATTTACAGAAGACAAAATTTATGCAACAGTTCAGTTTCAGCCCAGGAGAAAAGGTTGATTTTCTTATCCTCTTCCTCCAGGTCTGAATTACATTATCATGGGCCAAGTGGGTGAGGATGGGCGAGGCAGGATCATGCCCAACAGCTTCACCCTGATGTTCAAGACCAAGAACCAGAAGCTCCTGAATGCCTTAAAAAACAAGCAGTGTTAGCAGTGAACCGCGTCAGTGCAACCTGCGTTCTCTTACTGCTTCTGAACGATCTGTCCTTCTTCAGTAGAACAAAAAACTTTAAACATGGCGTATGGAGCATTCTGAGAGATGCTCATTAACTCATTCACTCTTCACCTGCAGTGGGTGTGACACTTCCGGTACTGTTGATGGAAGGTCTGTGGCTGCGTGGAGATGAGCAGATCTCGGTGTGGTGACGAAGTGTGGACAGCCTGGCAGTGGCTTATTTATGTTTCTGTAAAGGGAAATTTTACAATTGAATTGCATGGAGCTATGGAAAAGAGATTTTATAAGTACAATATTTATAGCAATCCTTGTGTTACCTTCCAGCATTTGCTCCAAGGTGTTACACTCTTCTCTTGCATTTTTAAAATCAGTGCTTAATAAAATATTTTTAAATGATTACACAGCAGCCATTAAGCTTATTTCTGTATGAAGAGAGGGATACTGTAAAAAGAATATTCACTGATAGGAAGAATAGTGTTCTTCACACAGGCGGTTGTGTTTGTATCCGTTTGCACTTTGCTAAAGAGGTTGGCATTGCAAGGGTTCAGGGACCAGAGGCACCTGGCCATGTCAGCAGTCTACAATTCTCTCTGCAGCAGCACAGAATGTTACAGCCGCAGTGAATCAGCTAGCAGGAATCTAATACAGATCCATTCATTCTGTGAGCGGAACTGAAGCTCGGGTATATTTAGTGATTTGCCCACAGTGCATATCTCCTATGGGCCACAAGAGACAAGCTCAGAGGCCCCAAGTCCAAACCTGATGTCTTCATCATCTCCAGAAGCAGCCCTTCCCTAGGCCAGAGCAAGTCTTCTTGGCCTGACTTGGAAAGTTCAGTATATACATTAGCTCTTATGTCACGGATGGGTAGCTTAAATGATAACTGATAATCTCCCAGGACTTGAAATGAGAGGTAAGCATGACATTCCTACTCTGTTCATTGCATTACATGGAATAAGCCATATCAGTGAGGATACATTCTGCCATGGCCACTTGTCTTTGAAAAATCTGTTTTCATTCAGTGGTGGGAGAACTACACAAGGAATCCCATTGTCCTTACAGAGCAGGGGCTGGCAGCCATGACATCAGGGGACGGCCAGCCAAGGCCCTGGGGAAGAGGGGGCAGGCATCCCTATCTAGGGATTATTAGGGATGAGCAGTCTTTGGTCACAAGGCCCACCCTGGTAGAAGCACAGTTTTAGACACAAGGAAAATACTCCCTTGGTTGAAAACAAGTCACATCCATTGAGGTGACTAGACATACAAAGGGCAGAAAAACAGATGTTCCAAAGGGGGAAAAAAAAACCTGTTTTGCAGATGAGTGAGCAGCAAACATGGGCAGATAAGTCTCCCACTGAGATACCCTTGTGTGCCAAGGCACTCAGCAGCTAACGACGTGGATGAACTGGAGGATTCGGCTGAGGCTCATGGGTGGGCTTCACTATCCAGGGCTAGAAAGGCCCACTCAGCACCTGGACTTGGCAGAGGAGCTATGGCCTCTCACTGACTCCAGCCCTCTTAAAGCCAGAGAGCTCCTTTCAGGAATCCATGGGACTTGGCAGCAGAACCTTCTTGTGAATGCATTATGAGCAGCCTGCTTGCCGGAGACCATTCCTGCATTGCCAGGCTTGGACTTCCATGGCCTTATTGAGTTGGGACTTAATTAACCAGGGAGTTAGAACTGGAGGGAAGTATTCCAAACTTCACATCGCTGACATTTCTGACAGATTTACCCTCCGTTAAGGGGCTTCCTGGTTAATCACATATGCTATTGGTCTGTCTGTCTTTGGTTTTTACAACAGATTATCAAGCTACCAGGAAGCTCCTCTCTCCAATCCCATGATCCTTTCATAAGTTCTTTTCTGTTTATGGAATCATGAATTTTGACTAAACTTCAGCCTCCATAGTAATTTAAGATGAGGGAGTTCAGATTAAATGACTTCTGGGATTCTGTGCTTTTTTTTTTTTAATTTTTCAAGAATATTTGCTGAAGCTTTGTTTTGTTTGTGAATACGTATGCTTAGCAAATCAAGCCCATAAGTATGGATGAGAAGTTGGTGATTATACTAACACAATACAAAAACAATTCAAAATTATAAACAGGAATCCCTGATACATTGTGGAGGATTTTGCTAGTTTGATTTTCATCCTCTGAATTCCAATTCAATTCCTATAACAAAAGTAGAAGAATCCTGCAAGATACCCAAGTTGAAGTTTTACTCAATAGCTAGTCTGGGTTGAGGGAAATTCACCTTGTTTTTTTTCTCCATGTAATATCCTGCTGCCACATGCCCTTTCTATCCTGTAGATTGCTGAAATGATGTAAACCAAGGCTGAAAGTCTTTGAAGAAAAGTCCTATTTTTTTTTAAAAAAAGTACTCATCAGAAGCTCTAATATGAATTAAGTGCTATTAATCAAAGTTTTAGCTGAACTCACGGACAATTATGTAAACGCAAATTTGCAATAACAACTGAAATACCAAGAAAACATTTCAAAAAGTTTGGTTTAAGTTTTCTAAAGCCCTTATTCTGAGACAAACAATAACAATATTTAGTTATTTTTAGAAAAAAATTTGAACACATTCCTGAATGATCAAGCACCATTCTTTACTGGAGTAGCCTGGGTATGTAATCCCCAGCCTCTTTCATATTTATTAAAATCTAACATATGCTATATATAATATCACGTATATACATAAAACATACTGCTAGGTTATGTGCTTAAACACACAAAGCATTACTGAGAGAAAGACCTAGATAACTGGAGAGATACAATTTGTTGCAGGACTGGAAGACAAGATTAAGAAATCAGTTCTTCCAAACTGGTCTCTACATTCAATCCAATTCCAATCAGAGTCCCAGCAGGTTTTTGGGTAGCAAAGAAGTAGATTTTTATTAAAAAAAATCATCTAGGTTAGCAGAAGTAATTTTGAGAAAGTATTGCAAAGTCCTTACGCCGGTGTGTGTCCATTCTGCTCTGTGTGACAAGCAGCTTCCAGCATTCGGCTTGTCGAGCAAAGAACCGTGGAGTCCCAGCGTCTCTTCTTCAGTGAGCTACAGCATTAGATTTTATATTTCTGTATCAAGTTTAGTGAAGCACAATTTCCAAACATTAAAAGTCTTTTAAAAAAAGATTGATTGATTGATTTGCTTTTGGGAAAGGCAGATATACAGAGAGGAAGAGAGACAGAGAGAAGATCTTTTGTCACTGACTCACTTCCCAAGAGGCCGCAACTGCTAGAGCTGAGCCGATCCAAAACCAGGAGCCAGAAGTCTCTTCCAGGTCTCCCACGCGGGTGCAGGGTCCCAAGGCTTTGGGCCATCCTCTGCTGCTTTCCCGGGCCACAAGCAGGAAGCTGGATGGGAAGTGGAGCAGCAGGGACAGGAACTGATGCCCATATAGGATCTTGGCGCATGCAAGTCGAGGACTTTAGCCACTAGGCAACCACACTGGGCCCAAAAGTATTTTTAAGAGTACAATTTGATGAGTTACATAATCTCCCATCAAATCCTAGTAACCAAAGATGTGATTTGGTTCTTATAGTTGTCCCCTTCTAGAATCTCATATGAATGGGATCCTAAGTGTTTCTTGTAACTGTGTAGGTCTCTCACCACAAAGACATATGAACTAAAAATGGATGAATATATACCTATTCTCAGACTGGAAGCTATTAAACTACTAAGGGAAAACTTAAGAAGAAACATTATAAGACATTAATATTGGCAAGGTTGTTTTTTGTTTTTTTTTTTTGTTTGTTTGTTTGTAAACCCCTCTCCCAAAGCACAGGTCACAAAAGCAAAACTAGACAAATGGGATTATATGAAAGAAGCTTCTGAACAACCAGCAGAATGTAGAGACAAGTGAAGGAAGGGAGAAAAAGTCTGCAAGCTGCACATCTCACAAGGGGCTAACAACCAGAATATACAAGAAACTCCAAACAGCCTGACAACACAAACAAAACAAGAACATTTAAAAATATGCTGTAGTTGTAAACATTTCCCAAAGGAAGACATACACAATGGGCAACAGGTGCATGGAGAAGTGCTTGATATCACTAATCACCTTGAAACATCAGTCATAACTACAGTGAGATGACATGAAAAGACCAAAGGTGCTGATGTGGAGGGAAGAGAACCCTGGACCAGGGCTGGCGGGAACAGAAGTTAGAGCAGCTATTGTGGAAGACAAAATGGAAAATTCTCAAAAAACTAAAAACAGAACTACCGTATGCTCCAGCAATTTCGCGATTGAGTATATGTTCAAAGGGAATGAAATTGGCCTGTCGAGAAGACACCTGTATGCCCTCGTGTACCAAAGCATTTTTTTTTCAACAGCCAAGACTTGAAATCAACCCAAGTATCCGTCAGCTGTAGACAGGGTAAGGAAAATATGCGGCATACTTGTGTGTGAAATCTAACAAAGTTGATCACAGAATGGTAGCTGCCAGAAGCTGAGTGAATACAGGGAAATGGGGATGGGAAAATGTTGATTAACAGCTATATGTATGGTGACCAGAGATAATGACAATATGTTGTATTTTTCCTCCAAAACTAGAAGAAAGCTTTTTCAATGTTTTCACCAAAAGAAATGATAAATGCTTGAGGAGATAGATTTGAACATTACAAGTTATAAATGTTATAAAAACATTATTTTTATGCATTAGTTAAAAAGAAAAAAATTTCAAAGAATTTAAAAAGCATATGATAATACAACAGACAATGTTAATTTATCATCTAACATCAAGTTTTATTCACCTTTTTTTCTTACAATACAGTCATTCAAAATATACCTCATAAGTAACTCATGCATACAGTAGGCACTCTATAAATATTTTATTTAATAATTAAATATTTTTTGAATGACTAAAAATCCTGATGTAAAATTGGGAAGTGCATAATCCCATTGTAGACAAAATATATAGCTTTACAATAAACATTTTTGTAAGAATTACCCCCAAAAAGGGAACACTTATAATTTGAAAATTAAAAAATAAAGTAAAAAGCAAGATGGAACAATACTGTATTTAGACAATGATCCCTGGATCAGTGGTGCTTATAGACCAAGGGCTACCTGCACCCTGTGGCCTTAAGACTATCCGACATTCAGTTAAGAAGATAATTGTATGCTTAATACCCTCTTAACTAGAAGTGCTATAAGAATAGGCAAGCAAGCTTGTGAAAACAATTTCAGCTACCTCTCTTATGTGAACACTGAAAAAACTTAAATCCATACTTTATTCTCTAATTTTAAAAATCATTCACTTTAAGCAGCAAGAATGGTCCACAAACATGAAATCACTTTTATGGAAGCTATGTTACATTCTGAGGAAAAATCTTTGGGAGACAAGCTCAAGAACCCTAGACCAAATATAAAACAAAAACTTTTGCATTAAGGA